GGCTTGACGTGTGAGGTGGGACCAGCCTGGCAAGTGTCCAGCTGGTAAGTCCAGAGCTGAACAAAGCCGGGGCTATTTATATTTATGTAGGGCAGGATGATTAATGCCCGGGCCTTTGCCACAGCAGGCGCTTTGTTACTTTTAAAGAGATCCACGAACCCCTCCAGCCTCCCGTCGAGGGTCGTTTCTTCCCCAGCACTCAAAACTTAGAGCCTCTCCGCCGTGCTCCCTGACCCCAGAGGATGCCCTTGGGGACTCAGCGGCCTGATTTGGGGTTTGAGGAGAAGATCAATGATTCAAAACACGTATTTCACCTGCACCGCTTTCCAGCTGCGCGACTGCACATGCACACTCTTTGGAAACACCTTGGGTTTTGACATCTTATGTTGGTGTTGTGCGTTTTTATGAATAATGCTGGCTGTAAATCAGCCCTTGCGCAGGTTTCCAGGGGCATTATATTGGTGGTGGGTGAAATACTGGTTGAATTGTACAAAACGAGGGCTTTATCCCACAGTGGAACCTAACAGTGAAGTGTTGCAGAGACGCCTTTCACGCAGGGTTTGGCTTTTTCAAGGAAACCCTCAACCTCAGATGAACCCTTTATTTTGCCTCCTCCCTCCCAGCTCTGCATTGCTCCGCAATCCCCAAGGCAAATAAAGATCCTTAAGCCCAGGTCTTACCCATCTCACTGCCAGCATAACCCTACCAGCTCCTATACAGGAACCAACTCCAAATTATTAAAAAACTGCTGTCCCAGCCCTCCTGAGCAAGCAGTGGAGCCACCAGAAAACTCCAAGCTATCAGGAGTGCTGGGAGACAGGCCACAGGTGTGGGGAGCAAGCAGGAAATTAAATAAATGCCATGGGAAAAAGCATTACAAGGGAGATGGCTCCCTCCCACTAGCACAAGATGAAAAACTACTTTGCATGAGCAGGACACAGCCACGGAAAGGTCTGGTGAGGAATTTAAGGGGTTGTCCCTCACGTGAGCATTGTAGAGAGAACCACGGTCAACAGAAAAAAAAGCTTTTTGCAGAAAAACCCTCAAGGAACTTGCTGTCCAAGGTTACAAAAGCACCAGCACAACGCTGGGGACTGATGGTGAAAGGAGAAGAGCTGGGAGGACATGGGGGAGTTTCAGCGGGGTGGGAGAGGAGGGTTGGAGCAAGGAGCTCACCAGGATTGAGGGAGTCTGTGAGGTACCAGTGAACGTTTTAGGTGGATCATGGAGGTGGAGAATTCATGGGGATGCCAGGCAGCAGGAAGGGATCACAGTTACGTTTGGGTCTAAACGGGATTGTGGGAATTTTGTGAGATTGGTGAAAATTGATAGGGGATATCAAGTGGGGGAAGGCAGAGAGGGGGCTAAGGGTCACATGTAGATGAGAGCTG